GTAATAAGGGTTAACGGAGAGGCAGTTTCTGTAAGCAACACCAGAATATTTCCTTCCTGCCTTCCTTACAGGATTAGGCCAGTAATTTCTTCTAAGCAGTTTGGAGAACTGAACTGCTTAGAATGTTAACAACCGGTTCTAGTGAATAGGTGCAAACTGACAGAATCCCACCCCTGTAGGTAATAACTAGCTTTCTCCGTCAGCACAGGGCAAGGCAAAGGTAGTCTTGCTGAATTACAGCCCTCTCCCCTGAAATCCTTCATCATTGGTCCATGCTTCCTGGAATTGCAATCAAGTGACATCTCCATAACCTAGAACAGTGATGGCTAACCTTTTCAGCACCAAATGCTCAAAGTGCGCTCATACACATGCACCCTCCCGAATGCAATGTGCATGCGCAAACCCCCATGCCCTCCCACACATGCACGTAATGTCCCCCTGCACCCCGCACAGGTGCGTGCAACCCCACGCACCCCACACATGCATATGTGACCCCTAAGCATGTGCCTCACCTCTGCGCATGTGTGCACGATCCCCGCATGCGCCCCTACCCCTGCACATGCGTGGCAGAGACCCAAAGACTAGCTGGCTGGTGCGCACATGCGTGGCAGAGCCGAGTTGAGGAGATCATTCGTGTGCCCAGATAGAGGGTTCTGCATGCCACCTTTGGCACACGTGACACAGATTCACCACCATGGACTTAGAACATCCTGAAAGGTCTTTAAAAGATTTTGAAGAGCAATGTGGCAGACCACAATGTAAATTAATTCCAAAGTGGAGTAGGTAACACCATTCCTCCATAAAGATCTGCTGGAAAAGAAAAAAAACAACTTTGAGAAAGAGTGAAGTGGGAATTGTCTATTATTAGAAGAAAATGTGTGTGTGTGTGTGTGTGTGTATGTATGTGTGTATATATATATATATATATATATATAGGCAAAGATCTATTGGAGGTGACACAGTGGCAGGACATGTGTTATCAATTAGAGTGCATAATGATTATATTTCTAATCTTGTCTAACAGCCTTGGCAGATTGCAAAATCAGTATGATAGTCACAAAGGTGAAAAATGAAAATGAAAAGCAGTAAAAATGTTAATAAATAGCACAAGAAAGATATGCTCAAACATGTGATAACCACAACACCAGAATAGTGTTGGCATGTAAAAGAATTTTTTTCAAAATGCTTGGAAGAAAAACATAGACTTGGAAGGGACCTTGGAGGTCTTCTAGTCCAGCCTCCAGCTCAAATAGGAGACCCTATGCCATTTTAGATAAATGGTTGTCCAGTCTCTCTTTGAAAGCCCCCAATGATGGAGCACCCACAACTTCTGAAGACAAGTTGTTCCATTGGTTGATTGCTGTCACCGTTAGGAAATTTCTCCTTAGTTCTACGTTGCTTCTCTCCTTGGTTAGTTTCCATCCATTGTTTCTCATCTTGGTTTTGGTACTGTGGAAAAGAGGTTGATCCTCTCATCTCAAATATTGGAACATTGATATCATGTCTCCCCTCGTCCTTCTTTTCATTAGTCTAGACATAGCCAGTTCCTATAACTGCTCTTTGGATGTGGACCTTGTAGGTCATCTAGTCCAACTCCCCTCCCACCCAAGCGGGAGACCCTACACCATTTCTGACGAATGGCAGTCCAATCTCTTCTTGAAAGCCTCCAGTGATGAAGCTCCCACAATTTCTGAAGGCAAGCTGGTTGATTGTTGATTGATTGTTCTCAACGTCAGAAAACAACTCCTTGTTTCCAGGTTGAATCTCTCCTTGATCAGTTTCCATCCATTATTCTTTGTCTGGCTTTCAAGTGCCTTGCAAAACAGCTTGACCCCTTCCTCTCTGTGGCAGCCCCTCAGATATTGGAACACTGCTATCATGTCTCCCCTGGTCCTTCTCTTCACTAGACTAGCCATGCCCAGTTCCTGCAACCGTTCTTCATATGTTTTAGTTTCCAGTCCCCTAATCATCCTAGTTGCTCTTCTCTGCAGGTTGTGGCTAGAATGGACATGCTTAGAAAGTTTAAGAACAAAAGGCATTGTATGAAGATATGTAGAGATACGGTGGAAGGATGGTTTGCTGGTGAACTATTTGGTACTAGAGTCAGTTATCATAGCACAGGTTTTAATTTCTTGGCTTATTATTTCTTATTCCCATACTATGGGTTGTGTAATGTTACTTACACTAAGATAATAATGGAACAGGAAACATTAATAGAATAGAATGGAATAGAATGGAATGGAATAAGGATAGGGATAGGGATAGGGATAAAATAATAGAATTGGAAGGGACCTTGGAGGTCCAACCCCTGCCTAGGCAGGAAATCCTACACCACTTCAGACAAATAGTTATACAACATCTTTTTTAAAACATCCAGTGTTGCAGCATTCACAACTTCTGGAGGCAAGTTGTTCCACTGATTAATTGGAGGAGGAAAGCAAAATTGTCTGCCGGGTCTGAAGAGGCATTGCCACAAGCAAATAATGTCCTTCTCCAAAATCTGATTTAAGAATTGGAAAAGATGCTTTGAGGCACTAAAATCAACCCCCAGATGCATCATTGTGCTGAGACCACCTACCCCCAGGGGTGCCGAACTCGATTTCATTGAGAGCCACATCAGGATTGTGTTTGACCTCGAGCGACCGGGGTGGGCGTGGCCAGGATGGGCATGGCCAGCTCAACGTCACTCATATCGGGGGGCACCTGTGGAGGCCCAAATGCTCTGCCAGCAAAAACTCTGACCCCAGGAAAAAAAAATGCACAACGCTCTTACTTAAGATCTCCTTCAGCAATGTTTAGTGAATGCCAGCTAGATCAGCAATTCCTGCCTTGAGATAAGGGCTGAATGAGGGGTCACCATGAGTGGCCTTGCTGTTTCCTTCTTGTCTTCTTCAGTCTGGTCTCTAGCCATCTGGGAAGCCTGCTTGTAGCTGGCTTCCAGGACCTGAACAATGCAGGACACAACCCAGATGAAGCAGCACACGGAGGTCCACGTTATCTGAATTAGGAGGTTCTCCAGATTCCAGTAGCAGCTTTTCAGTAGTGAAATCCTCTGGGTAAGCTGCTTTTCCAGGACCTGGCAAGCAAAAAAGGGCAAGAATGTGTCAGGAAGGTTGGGAGGAATGGACTGAATGGTGGAATTTTGGAAACGGGAAAGGCCCAAGGACTCTCTGCATCACCCCTTCATCCTAGGGCACTCCATTAGCTGAGTTCAGACAATCTTCCTCCTCTTGAATAGCTTTGAAAAGTGACTCGATACATTGATGGAGGGCAGGTAAATTGAAGCCTATCATTATGAGCTGTGGGGGCGCAGTGGTTACAGTGAAGTACTGCAGGCAACTTCTGCTGACTGCTGGCTGCCTGCAGTTTGGGCAGTTCAAATCTCACCAGGCTCAAGGTTGACTCAGCCTTCCATCCTTCCAAGGTGGGTAAAATGAGGACCCAAATTGGGAAAAATATGCTGACTCTCTGTAAACCGCTTAGAGAAGGCTGTAAAGTGCTGTAAAGCAATATAAAAGTCTAAGTGGTATTGCTATTGCTATCAGACTCGACACTGCCCAAATCTGCACACTTCCAGCTTTTGATACCCTGCTTCTGTGCCCTATTGGCTTTTATCACTCTGGGTCTCTTACCATTCTTTGTAGGAATGTTCTCCAGCCATATTCCTTGGCTCCACTGTGAATTTGCCATGCCAACAGCAGGAGCATCATGGAAGCTAGGAGGACATTTTGCGCCCAACAGAAGAAGAAGTCTATAGTTAGCTCCAAGGAAGCCTGGATCCAGCACAGGAGATCCCACTGAATCTGCTTCAGACATAAATACCAACTCAGAATCCCCTCTTGCAGTGAAAGAAGGTGCAGGTACAGAGTTCTCAGCCCCCCTCGAACTGCACCCTGTAGGTTTTTCCCCATAGTTGGCAGCGAGGATCCTGACTCAGGAAATTTGCTAGAAGGATGTGTCTTGGGCTCCATGGGGAAGCACTACTTGACAAGAGATGGCACAGCACACAACACTCTTCAGAGATCTGTGAATGAAGACAGCCACATACTATCAGGCTCTTCCTCTTAACCAGGAGAAACGCTGTGCTAAACTACATATCCTTGTGTTCTTTTTGCTATCCTATTTAATCTATCAACTAAGCATTTATTCCTTCCCCCCCTTAACACAACAATCCCATAAAATTGCTTAACGTTTTAAAAATGGCTAAATAATTTGAGAACAGCTACTAAACATGCTAAACTGCAAGTCAAAACACATCAACAGTGACCAAAGTAACATGTGCAAATATTATACAGGTACACATAAATGAACCAAATTAGTTACAATATGCAACATGCTAAGCCACAAAATTAAGCAGTCTTAACCTGCCTTTACTGCCACAAAAATCTTTAATTAATTTGACTGAATTATATGCATAAGCCAGAGGCTATGTTTGTCCAACTGAACCCCTTGTATCAGTGCAATCATTTCAGCTTGCAAGAAGCCCTGGGCAGCTGGGAGGGTGGCATTTTCTCTTCTAGTTCCCATTTATAATTTTTCACTGGCATATTTTCACTTGTAATCCCTGGAATACTCTCTCTCATCCATTCCTGTCAATAAATTCAAATCCAGGAACTGGACACCTATTTTAACCCCGATCGCCACCAGCGTTCGTCTCAATTTCTTTGCTGCCTTCAGTATGAATTTTAAGAATTCATTAAGAATAGATTCCTCAGTCATCTTGCTTGTTTTCCCCTAGTAATCTTCCTTTGGAACTATTTCTTCTCAGGTAGGAAGAGGGAGGGCCCTTGGGGCCGTCTCTCTTTCAGTCTCTGCACTCGGAGAAGAGCAGAATCAAACTTCCCTGTATCTAGTAGACACCTACAGTTTCAAGATCCTGAGAATTTTCAAAGAGGCAATGACTTGTCTACAACTTCCCTTTTGCTCCGCTCTCAAGCAGCTGTTAAGCAGGTTCCAGTTACATACCTTGGCTTTCAGCTTTGTGACATGACTGTGATGTCATGGCAGAGTGTGAAATCCTGAAGACTGATCCCAGTGTGACCATACACCAGGGCTGGCTTTACACAATGCACTATACCTTATACATAGGTTAATAGACCTCAACATTCACTTTGCAAAATTGAGTTATATTATTGTTTCACACCATGTGCTACAACAATGGCTGAGATTGCACAGTATCCTGAACCACAAATTTTCAATCCCTAGGGCTGCATAGATCAGCATGTTGTTGGACTCAAGGAAACATATTGTGCTTGGCAATTATATTTAGCAAGGTTTGGTTAAATATAAGAGGACAGAACAGAGAAAGGGAAGGGAGCATCAGAAAGATTACTTGGGTCTCTTTGGAAAAGCTGGACATTGATAAAAATTTGTCATGATGGAGAACTTTTTTTCCATGCAGTCATCAGGATCAAATCCATCTTGATAGCCTTTTATTAGCATGCTATGCACTCAGCTGATCAGGGACCAATATAAGTTCTGGCCAAACACTTAACAAAGGCAAAGAAACTGATACATATAACGAGGACTTTCATATTAGGAACTCAACCCTATGAAGACTACGAAGACAAGCTCAGGAATAAAAAAATATTGACAGATTTGAACAATGAGCCCTATCCAACAAAATGAATTTTAATGTGGAAAAAAACAAGGTTTTACACTTAGGCAGGAAAAACCAATGCTACAAATACAGATTAGGCAAAACCTGGCTCAAAAGCAGTAAATTGTGAGAGGGGCCTTGGGAGTTTTAGTGGATGATCACTTAAATACAGGAGTGCAGCAGCCAAAAAAGCTAATACAATCCTTGGTATAAATTGAGGCATAGAATCAAAATCATGAGAAGTATTAGTACAGCTTTAGAAAGCCTTAGGAAAGCCGCACCTGGGATTCTTTTAGTCACATTACAGAAAAGATGTTGAGACTGGAGAAATGCAAAGAGGAACAACTAAGATAATTAAAGGCCTGGAGACTAAAACACATGAAGAACAGTTGCAAAATTTGGGATTGGTTAGTCCAGAGAAAAAGGGGGGGGGACATGATAGCAGTACTCCAATATTTGAGAGCCTGCCACAAAGAGGAGGGGTCAATTTATTTTCCAAAGCACCAGAGGGCAGGATAATAAACAATGGATGGAAACTAATCAAGGAGAAAAGCAACCTGGAATTAAGGAGGAACTTCCAAACAGTGGGAACAATTAACCAGTTGTACAGCTTGCCCTCAGAAGTTGTGGGTGGTGCATCACTGGAGGTTTTTAAGAAGAGACTGGACAGTCACTTGTCGGAAATGGTATAGGGCCAGGATGTCAAACTCACATCATCATGGCAGCATCACGTGACGTATCAAAACTTTTCCTCCTTGGCTAAACCAGGTGGGGGAAGGGCCAACATGTGATGCATTTGGGCCATGGGCTGTGAGTTTGACACCCCTGGCATAGGGTCTCCTGCTTGGGTTGGGCTAGAAGACCTCCAAGGTCCCCTTCCAGCTCTATTCTGATTGGTTGAAGACTGAAAGAGCACCCTGTGTTCAACCTTGAGAAGAACAAGCAGGGGCTCTGGCAGTACTGTTTGCTTCCCCTTCCTGAAAGTAGAACTGTGTCTTTTCCTAAGCTTGCACTAAATTGCACAAGCTCGGGAAAATATTACTTTTTTTCCCAAGAGCTTTTGATAGTTCTAATGAAGGAGCTAACACTGGGTCTAAAGCCTCTCTGTCTTCTTGTCCAAACATTGCACGTCTCTGCCTCAAAGGATGTCACACATAAGGTTAAGAGAATTATTTTGAAGAGTGTTTCTCAACCTCAGCGACTTTTAAGGTGTGTGGACTTCCAACTCACAGAACTGCCCAGCCAGCAAGGGTGGCTGGATAATCTTGGGAACTGAAGTCCACACATCTTCAAAGTTGCTGAGGTGATGAAACATTGCTTTAAAACCTCTCCCAATCCACAGATTCTGGACAGGGGGAGATGACAAAGTGAATTGGGGTGGAATATCCCATGTTTGGGTATCTCGGAGCAAGGCCAATTGCTGCTCCCACCAAGATAACTTAAGATGCAGGTCTTTTTAAAATAAAAAATAAAAAAATCCAAGTATTAATTATTGAGTGTCCTTGAACTTTTAGTTTCCCTTGGACTGTACTCATTACTGCCCCAGCTTCCGGATTGATAGATAAAGGCAGCAATAGGGCATGTTCAAACAAAACAGCAATCACACCTGCCCTTTAGATATTGTTTCCTTGTCTCCTTAATAAAATCCTTGTTGGCTCTGGAGCCAAGTCCGCTTCATGGGAGCGTCCCAAATCCCACCCGCAGCAGCTCCTGATTCCTCGCCCTTTGTCTTGTTGAAGAAACGGGAGGAGTAACCTACGATCGCAGGTAGCCAATCTAACGAGCGGTTCCCCAAAAGAGAGCAAGACCCGCCGCTAGCAAAAGCGCCGAGGAAGGCAGCGTCATAAACGGCTGGCCAGGAGCCGCCCGCCCAATGGGAGGGAAGGCCCCGCCTGCTTCCAGCTGGCCATGGCCGCTCTCTCCAGCTGCCGCCTAGCCGAAGTGCAGCGCCGCGTGGCCGAGGTGCACCGCCAAAGCGATCTGCAGCAGCTGCTAGGCTTCTACAACGGCTGGGCCCAAGACTATGACCAGGTGCCACTCCCCGTCCTTCCCCGCGTCGCTTAGGCGAGAATCTCGCTTTCTTCGTCCGGAAGGTGTGCTCATGTTTGTAGCCTCAGGGTTGAAATAGGGATTCTTGCCTCCGCAGGGGTTGGACTAGAAGACCTCCGAGGCCCCTTCTAACTCTTGGTATTCTGAGAGCACCAACGAGGGATCCTTGGTGCTCTCGAACGAGCTTGTTTTCTTGCAGACGTTTCATTACCTAGACTAGGTAATATCATCAATGCTAGTTCCTAAAGGGTTTGCCCTCCTGAGCATGTGCAGAGCGTGTTTACCCTGCTGTCAACTCTTGACAAGATTCAGCTGTTGTCTTCGTGCAATCGACTTGGCTGGCGGCTAGAAGGGGGGGGGGAGGGTTAAAAGGAAGGAATTTGAGAATTCCCTATCTTTCCCACCGAAATACCCTATATCGAGCCTGAAGCATAAAGCCACTTTAATAGTTATATTGCATTGGCAGAGTATTTCTATATTAATATAAATATTAGAGCTGTATATCCCTTTTCCACAGTGTAATAGACCAAACAAACCTCTTTAGAAAATCTGGCCCCCTCCCCCACTTCCTTAACCAACCAAAGGTTAATCTATAAACAAGTAGCTGATCTGCACTAATAAAAAGTATTAAGCAATAAAAATATTAATCTTATCAAAATAATTTACTCTTCATATTTTGAAACATGCTAAAAGAGCTTTTTTGAAGCATCCTGTACTTATGTCCTGCCTTATCTCTAGAACTTCCAAGCAGCTTCTATGGGGATCTCCCTTTATTTCCACAACTCGGTGAGGTAGCATAGGCTCCAAGGGTTAGTGGCCCAAAGTCACATCATCGGTTTCCATGATTGAAGGTAGATGTGAAATCAGTCTCTCTAATCCTACAGGTAGTCCTCAACTTACGACCATAATGGAGCCTGACCATTACGGTCATAAGGTGGGTCACCCACATGTCCGATCCAATTTTGCAATATTTTTTGCAGCAGTTGTTAAGCAAACACTGTGTTTGTAAAATGAACATCACTGTTGTAAAGCAGACAACCTAGATTGCTATGGGCTGTTTTTGATAAAAACATTAGAAAATGCTGTTACCAGACCAGGGGATGCTGTAAATGTATGTAAATGCAGCCAGTTGCTGAGTAGCTAACATGCAGTCACACGACTGGGTGTGGGAATGTGCATGTGATTGACAGAACTTTGAAACCAGGCACAAGTAGCACTGTGGAGGTCTGTTATAACTTGAATAATTGCTTAGTGACTAGTCCAGTGGTGGTATTTAAATTTTTTTACCACTGGTTCTTTCGGCGTGGCTTGGTGGGCATGGCAGGGGAAGGATACTGTAAAATCTCCATTCCCTCCCCACCCCACTAACCTGCTTTCCAGCTCCCTTCTCCTGTGCAGGGCAACAAAAGAAGACCCAGCAGATCGGCTGGGACTCAGTGGGAAGCAGGGAATAGATGGGGGTGGGTCCAGTCAGAGGTTGTATTTGGTTCTCCGAACTACTCAAAATTTCCCGCTACCGGTTCTCCAGAACTGGTCAGAACCTGCAAAATACTACCTCTGGTCTAGTCGTAACTCGAGGTTCTCCAACTTCTTAAGCACCACAGCTCAGAGACTTAGTATTCTCTCATCCAGGTATTAACCAAGCCTGGCCAAGTTTCAGGTTATCTTCCCAGAGAAGGGTCTCTGGGGCCTGGGAGAAACAAGACTCTGGTCCAGCACAAGAGGTGGTATTCAGCAGGTTCTGACCAGTTCTGGAGAACCGGTAGCAGAAATTTTGAGTAGTTTGGAGAACCAGTAGTAACCTTCCCCTAAGAATGGGGAGGGAATGGAGATTTTACAGTATCCTTCCCCTGCCATGCCTACCAAGCCATATCCACCTAGTCATGCCACATCCACCAAACCACACCCACAGAACCAGTAGTAAAAAAATTTGAACCCCACCACTGGTCCAGCACATCTGAAATGGAGCCACAAAACTAAAATTACAAAATGTTCTGTTTGGACAAAGGACAAAGTTGAACTCTTTGTACAGTTATAAAGTTCTACAGATGGCCTTCAGCAAATCTTGGTCTTGCTTTCTGGAGCTGATACTGTCTTTTTATTAGATGCAATTATTTTAACCACCTAATAGATAAAAACGCAAACTTTGGAGCTCCCCCGTTGTTGGAGTGATTAAAACTCTTTTCTCTTCTAGGATGTGGCAGTGTTGCAATACCAGGCCCCAAGTCTGGCCGCTGCTTTCTTGGCCTCCGTTTTCCAGGGTTCAGCTGAGGATGCACTAGTACTGGATGTGGCCTGTGGCACAGGACTTGTGGCCCAGGAGGTAACTGAGATCAGAGTTGTGCTTCAGCCAGAGACCTTAGGCTGCTCTCCACCAGGTTTTGAAAACAATCAGCTTATAATTGTCCCTGTGATGTGTTTTGGAAACTCATCACTGAGTTTTCTGTCTCCTGCACAGTAGTGGATTTTTAAGCTGTGCAGATGTAGATAGATAAACTCAACAAGACGTCCATAAGAAAGTACATTTATTGGTTCATCAGGTATCCTCATAACTCACATTTGTGACGAAGTTCTTCTTTAATGACCAATCCTTTGCATATCTGCCTTGTAGTAAAAGATGGTTATCTCCTAACCCATCTCGTAGCGATAGAAAGCGGCTGCTATGAGTTAGGGAGTTCAGGCAAAAGTGAGGAAAACTCCCCCAACCCACTGAGGGTCACAACAGTGACCAGTCAGGATTACAGATGTGGCCACATGACATGAACTACATTTCCCAGGATACCTTTAACTTCATTTACCATGATGCATTCCCGTAAGGGGATAGCTCATAATTCCTAAGTAACTATCCAATTCCCATAGACTGGCTGGGACAGCACACTGAGGGGAGCTCCGTTTTCTTAACGTTGCCCTACGGACAACATGCAGGCCTTCAACCCTGTTTTTGCCTTGTGTCATTGCCATTTGGCAATGCCTCCTAATTCAATTTCCCTCCACCCCCTTGAAATGAGGCTAATGAGAGGGTTGCTCTCATCAGCACTGTTTTCAAATGGTTTTTAAGGCTGAGGCTAATAAGAATTTGTGTAATAATTATTAAGAGTTACATGTTATCAATGAAGAAACAGAATAAGATGAAAAAAATCAAAACCTCAACAACCAAATTCAGAACTCAGATTAATATCATACAGTACTTACTACCTCATTGACATCAACGTACAAGAGATAGCAGAGTGGGGACATGAAATGCGAGAGTTTCTTGTTTATTTGGAGCCCAGCAGAAGCCTTGGCCTACAAGCAGGAACATCATCGTTCATTTCTGTAACTGAGGGTACATAAGGAGAGGTAACAATGCATGGAGATAACTCCACAAAGCATCCATACAAAGTCTTTTTATTGGTTCATCAGGCATCCTCAATATAACTTACAGTTACGTCGAGATTCATCTCAATATTCAACTCTTTGCATAGCTGGCTTTCTGGTGTAAAGGGTTCTGATCGTTCATCCCATAGTAGTGGAGCAACGGGAGAGATGCCAGCATGCTGCTGGGGTCTGAGCAAGAGTGAAGAAACCTCCCCCAACCCACCAAGGGTCAATTCAGTGACCAATCAGGATTACAGATGTGGCCATATGACATGGACTTACATTTCCCAGGATACCTTGACTACATTTACCATGATGCATTCCCTTAAGGGGACAGCTCTCAATTCCTAACTATCTCAAATCCCATTATTTATAAACTGTCTGGACAGCACACATGTCATGACATTATTGCATGAATAATACTTCGATGTAATTTCCGTCATTGGCATGATGACATTATTTTGATGCCCTTGTGGTTTCTATCAGATAACTTGGATATGCTGCTGAGGGTGAATCAAGCAGTCCAAAACCTCCAGAGAACATAATGGGAGAAGAATACACTTTTTAAAAATATGTTCTCTCTTTTGCGGAAGGAATGCTTCTTGATGAATGTGTTCTGCTTTCAAACACTTGCTGCTTTCTTGGTCCCGAGATTTATTTTAATTATGACATTACTAGTAATATCAATAGTTGCTTAATAAATAGGTATGAAAGAAGTAGGTCCATTTTTGTCAGATTGCATACTTATTTCCTTGTAGGCACCATCTTAGAAGATGCCTTCCCTCTTGTGTGACACAAATAAAGAAGAGAATGCCTCTCTTCCAAGACTGTTTCAAATCCCTTGGAAAATAGTTTTAATAAATAGTTTTAAAATAACTGGATGAAACTAAGAGCATTGTTTTGATCTCATCAGAACAGTCACCTGTTACAAGCTACAATGACACCAAAATAATGACATGTGCACTGTGATATCATCATGCAAATGACTGATTATGTATGCTCATGCACAAAAGCATGTTAAGCATTGCAAAGCAACCTGCTTCCTGGCATAAGAACATGAAGTGCCAGTGCACACACACACAAACACACACACATTCAGAGGCTAACTGCTGGAATCCCAAAATTGAAAGCAGCCCAGAGTTAGCTAGAAGATGGGCAGCTATATAAATGTTTTAAATAAAGAAATTAAATTAATGATGAAATGTGTCATGATGTCATTTTGCCTTTCCATATAGGTAATGCGGCATTGCATTCAACTACATAAGGATCATCATCATCCACATATCATCACTTGTGTGCGCTCCATGTGTGCACCCCTACTTGTTTCTATCTTGGCCAGGCCCCATTTGGCTTGCAGCATTCATTTAACTGTTAGCAAATGGGGACTGACTGTTTTTCTGGCTGGGGTCTTGTAACTTAACACTTTGTGCTCTAAGCTTCAGGCAAAAGGTTTTCGCCATCTCCATGGCCTGGATGGCAGCCGGGAGATGTTGGAACATGCACAGCACAAAGGACTGTACGAGGATTTGAAGTTGTGCTTGCTGGGCCAGGAAACCTTACCAGCTCCTGAAGGTAATAACGGGAACAGTTGTTCTCAGCAATGGACAGAATAGATTAGAGAAAGGGAAGAAGTTGGAATGTGCCTGCATGCATGGAGATTTCTAGAGCGTCATGCCCCTGTCAGAATCTAATTCGGAGGGGGAGGCCGAGGAACTGACAGGAAGTGGGAGGGTGGCTCCATTGGCGGTGGAAGAAACTGGGGAAGGGCAAAGTCCGGCTGGGCAGAGCAGGGGAGAGGTAGAGCAAGGCAGAGGGAATTCAGAGGAAGACTCAGGGCCATGCCCTCTTCGTCCTAGGGAGGAGCAGAGAAGGGAGCAACATGAATCGTGTGGCTTACGGAGGAGGAAAGGGCCCTGATTCCCTTCATTAGCTGCAGCTGGGAACAGTGTTTAAAAAGGGAAGCTACGCACAGCAAAGTTGTTGGAAGCAAATTGTGAGTTATCTGTTATTGTCGAGGCTTATCTGGGTTCCAGACGTCTTCCCAACTGTGTGTGTTTTGTTGGCCTTTCAAGTCTGCAATTCCTTATCCTGCCCTGTCAAGTTAATTGCTGCAGCATGGTTTGTGTGAATTTTTATTTACAGTTTGTATGTACTTGGTTTTCGGACTGAATTTTCTCCACTTAAAGACTGTTCTTGGGAGAGTCTTTTCTCCAGCTGAAGGTTGACCTGGACATTGGGGGCAAAGTTGGAGGTATTAAAGGGACTCTTCTTGCTTATTTGACTGTGTTGCCTTTGTGCCACGCCCCAGGTCACCACATAGAGAATGATGCCCATCTCCTTCCTTGACACTACCTGTTACGCCTTCATCTTCTCCTCTGCAGGCTCTTATGATGCTACTGTGATTGTGGGTGCGCTCAGTGAGGGACAAGTGCCCTCTGGTGTCATTCCGCAACTACTTCTGGTCACCAAACCAGGTAAGCTTTTGCAAAAGAGACTCAAGTGTAGTTTCAGAGGACTTATAAATGGGTGAGCAACTTTTTCCAGTGTCTGATCACCATGTAATATCGTGCCAATGAATGTGAAACAATGAAAATGAAAAATTATTCACATTGACCAAATTTGCCAAATTTCATAACATTTTACCTATTCCCCTGTGAGAATATCAAGCATTACTGAGATCTGGCCTTTAAAAATAGTTAATTAGTTCATTAATTCTAAACTAATTTTAGCATTCTGTAATTATGGTTGGTTGTGGAATTTTGGGAGTTGAAGGCCAGGCGTCTTAAAGTTCCCAAGATTTGGGAAACCTTGATCTAGATCAGTAGTCACCAACCAGTGGGCCAGGGACTACTGGTGATCCACAAGAAAATTTTGGTTGTCTGCAGAGAAATGTCACCCCCAAAGCAATTAATCCAGGCTGTACAGGAACACAAGGCTGTGGCACCCACATGGCCTGTGGGAACACAAGGCTTGTATCACTTGCATTGCGAACAACAGGAGGTTGTGAGGGGAAGAGGGAAAGGGCGGAGGGGGGGAAATAGCCCTATGCGCCCCATGCACCATGCCTGGCCACCGGGCTGCTTCTTTCCGCTTCTTCTTCTTCTGCTTTTGGCTGCACGCAAGGAAAGCAGCAAAAGTCTTTCTCCCTCAAACTCTGCCAGAAATGAGTCTTTGGGGCCCTGCAAGGCATCCTGCTCCAAGAGGCTGCGCCGGCGCAACAAGTCTCACAAAGACTCGTTTCTGGTGTAGTTTGGGGGAAGAGAAAGAAAGACTTCTGCTGCTTCTGCTGTTTTCCTTGCATGAAGCAAAAAGTCTCTTTCTCTCTCTCTCTCCCCCTGAGAACAAAGCTGGAGATGGTATCCTGCAATCCCAAATAAAGAATGATCGATCGGTAGGAAAATGGGGTGGGAAATTTTCCTGCAGACTTTTTTGGGGATTTTCCCAGGGTCACTGTTCTGCGGGATTTAAAATTATGAGTTTGGTGGTCCCTGAGGTCCAACAAGTTGGCGACTCTGATCTAGATCACACTTTTTTAAACTGGGGGAATTCTGGGCGTTGAGGTCCATGCATTGGTTTAAGTTGCTATGTTTGAAAAACAGTAAACTAGGTTTATGGCAGATGAGGTGCAATAAGCAGTTATAAGGCTTAGACTTATACTTTCCTTAATAGATTTGCTCTGGTAAGAAAAAAAAATTGGTGAGGAAAAAAAATACAGGAAGATTATATCATGTTTTCTGCATTCCCCATAATTTTTTGTGGATTAGGCAATTGCACACTAAACGCCCTTTAAGGAAATACCATCACACTTGCCCTGAGGAACATTAAGGAGCTGGAAATCTCAGATTCATTTGGTTGAACCCAAATTCCCTCCAGCCATTGATGGAGAGAAGGACTCCCCCAACCCCCAAGTGAGTCCTTTTGTGCTATGCTGCAGCTCTCAGCTGATCAGAATCGACTCAAAATGCTGAAGTCTGCAAAACGCTTTAGAATAGATCAATCCAGGCTTTTATTAAACATCCTATAAAGTAGTTTTAAGAGGAAGCATTTGTGAAGAAATCTTTGCAAGCAGAAATGAGACCAGGCTGATTTTAGGCAGCATAATTGAAAATACTGTCTGAAGCATCATGAATGAAGCAAATATGTCCCCTCCAATCTTCCAAGGAAAATTCAGTCTTGTGAATGGAGATAGGAGTAATGCTTTATCTTACAGCACATATTATGAACAAAACTATCCTAACCAGATGCAGTGATGAGGACAGAATCTAGTATTTTTAGTATTTATTTGATTTGTCAATCGCTTACAAGATACAGGTATAAGAATAAATATAGTTTTGAATACATGAGACAGGTACTTATAAGAAAAATTAAACACAATAGGACAGGGATGGTAGGCACGTTGGTGCGCTTATGCACGCCCCCTACAGGCCTCTTAGGAAGTGGGTGAGGTCAATAGTAGACAGTCTAAGGTTAAAGTTTTTGGGGTTTGGGAAAGAAACCACAGAGTCAGGTAGAGTATTCCAGACATTGACCACTCTGTTGCTGAAGTCGTATTTCCTGCAATTGAGTTTGGTGCGGTTTACTTTGAATTTGTATCTATTGTGTGCTTGTGTATTGTTATGATTGAAGCTGAAGTATTCATTGGCAGGTAGGACATTGCAATGTATGATTTTATGTGCTATATTTAGATCGGACCGGAGGCATTTTTATCAAAGGTAGCAACAACGATTGATTGAGACTAAAGTTTTATAGGTAACAAGGAAAGTGCCATGTTTACCAATTTCTTTGTCAAGGACATATCAAAATATGCATGGGTCATGGGTCAAGCAGATAAGATGAGTTAGTAGTATATGATTGTCTGTAATCAGTGGCACATTAACTGAATTTTTTATTGCTGAAACTAGAAAGAATGGGATGTTCTCACATCGTAACAGTCCCCAGTAGGAAGTTCACTGTACATACCATGTTGCTTAATGCTTTATGGCAGGGGTCGCCAAACTTTTGGACCTCAGGGTCCACCAAACTCATAATTTTAAATCCCATGGACCACTAATATGAATTTTGACAGACGGTGGCTTGCTGACGTTGGTGAGAAAGGTGGTCCCATATTCCAGAGCTGCAGTAGTCACAGGACTGGCCCTTTGGTCATCCCGGAGCAGCTGCTCCTCCACCTGGTTGCATCGGCTTGCCATGACCAAAGGACTAGTCCTGTGACTACTGCAGCTCTGGAATATGGAACCGACTTTCCCACCAACGTCAGCAAGCCACCCCGGGGCGGATTTCCCTCCCCCGCTGTTGGTCTTACCTTCCAGTTCCAGCTTTCATGGCTCTACTCAAGGTTTGCGCTCGGCCGAAGGCTGGGGCCAGTGGGTGGGCAGGCCATGTGGGCGGTGCAGCCTTGTGTTTCCATGGGCAATGTGGGCGGCGCAGCCTTGTGTTCCCGCACAGCCTGGATTAATTGCTTTGGGGGGGACATTTCTCTGCAGGCCACTAAATTTTTCTCGTGGACCACCAATAGTCCGCGGCCCACTGGTTGGCGACCACTGCTTCATGGGACCTTAACAGATGGATTTATAACACTTTAGGAACTAGAAGCATTGTTGGTGAACATTTGCTTCATCAAGTATTAGACTGAGAACATAGATGGGTATCTGAGGTGGAAAGACCATAGCTTGTGATACAAATTTGGAAGAGATCCAAATCTAGGAGGCTGCTGACGGTTATGGCAGTTAATAATTCTAAGCTAGATGGATTGGTGATCTGATTTAGCGTGAGACCATTCTGAGTTCGTACATATAATAATTAAATCTCCTTTGGCAAGATGGGAGCTGCAGTGTTGGATCACAACTTTTATACTGGTGTAGGAATAGAAAAGAGGTGGGGCTTGGATTGCAAAGTTAGGCTGGTCTTCTTATTTTTTTAACCCACTCAATTGACACTGATTTATTCCCCTGAGATTTAGGATGCTTGGATTTGTGATGCTTTTCATTAGAATTGGCCCAGTGCATGTTAAGAGGGATATATGGTTTATTTCAGGGGTGTCAAACTCACGGCCCGTGGGCTGGATGCATCACGTGCTGGCCACGCCCAGCCCCTTTTTAGTAAGGGGGGGGCAGTTGCTATATATATCATGTGACGACATGAATTTGACACCCCAGGTTTATTTGAATGCGCCGTAGCTTGAGCTTCCTCCAAGGCACCTGAATATCATTTCCAGAAATTGTATGTGCAACTGGATCTCAGGCTGATCTTATGAAACTGGGTGATGATTAAAACAAGAAAGAGAAAGGACTGGCACACAACGTGCAATTAATTTCTGAAAACGCCCTGTTGCAAGACGCAGTGATAGTTGCGTATCTTTTTAAAAAGAGTTCAGACAAAATACTTGGAGTGGAGATGGGAAAGGGATCTAACAGGGATTGCGAAATGGACCACGCACACACACACACACAAACACGCACACATTCAGAGGCAGTGGACCTTTAAATAGCTGGTAACCAAGCATAAGAGAAACCTTTGGAGGGTTTTTAATGCCTTGAGAATTTCCCAAAGGGACTAAATCGGCCCCTTTTGGACACAGGATGTTGGACTGGCTTAGATAAACAACTCATAACCACTAGATGGTGCTGCTATCTTGCCAACACTTCATAAACAGACCATGGAGCAGAAATATACATTTTCAGGGGTCTTGCAAGGCTGAAAGACAGAAACGCCACTTAAAATGTGTTTTGATCAGAATCTTGGAGAACCATATTGGTTGAATTGTCTCCTTTCTTCAGATTGCCTATATTTCTGTGTGCGCACCTATGTGTATATCTGGAATCATCAGACACGTTCTTTTTCAGGAATTTAGTTTTAGTCATTGCTTGCCTCCTCTTCCTCCTCCTTACATGCATTTTGCAATGGTTTTATTTGTTATTTCATTTCTCTTCCCTGTATGAAGATGTGATGAACAAACCTTGCCAGTTTCTTCACCGCAAGCGGGCTTTTTGGTCACCTCTGCCCTCTTAAGTTTCTAGGTGAACAGGGTGAGGTTCACACATCATACTCAACCCTAAACCTGGATTAACAATGCTAAGTCCTCAAGGGAGGTATTAATACCACTCTATAAAGCCTTAGTAAGACCACACCTAGAGTACTGCATCCAGTTTTGTTCACCACATTACAAAAAAGATGTTGAGACTCTAGAAGTAGTATAGAGAAGAGCAACCAGGATGATTAGGGGACTGGAGGCTAAAACATACAACAAACGGTTGCAGGAACTGGGCTTGGCTAGTCTAATAAAGTGAGGGACCAGGGGAGACATGATAGCGGTCTTCCAATATTTGAGGGGCTGCCACAGAGAGGAAGGGGTCAAGCTATTTTCTAAAGTGCCTGTGGTCCAGACAAGGAAGAATGGATGGAAACTGAACAAGGAGAGGTTTAACCTGGAAATAAGGAGAAACTTTCTGACAGTGAGAACAATCAACCAATGGAACAGCTTGCCCTCGGAAGTTGTGGGAGCGCCATCACTTGAGACTTTCAAGAAGAGATCTGTCAGAAATGGTGTAGGGTCTCCCGCTTGGGCAGCGGGGGGTTGGACTAGATGACCTACAAGATCCCTTCCAACTTTGATTGTCTGTTATCTGTTATCCTGTATCCAGAGAATACAGGTAGTCCTCAATTTACAACAGGTTTATTTAGTGTCTGTTTTTAAGTTTCAACGGCACTGAAAAAACTGACGTATGACAATTTTTTACATTTACAAACGTTCCCGCATCCCCATGATCACACAATCCAAATTCAGATACTTGGTAACGGACTCATATTTATGACGGTTGCAATGTCCCGGGGTCAATTGATCACCTTTTGTGACTTTCTGACAAGCATTGTCAATGAGGAAGCCAGATTCACCTAGCAACCATGTTACTCACCTTACAACTGCCATGGCTCACTTAATGAGTGTGCGAGAAAGGTCATAAAATGGGGGCATTTAACAAATGTCTCACTTAGCAACAGAAATTTTGGGCTCAATTGTAGTCGTAAGTCAAGGACTACCTGTATGCTGTTGCCTGCACAAATAAAACCATGCTACAGCTTAATGTAATAGCTTGGCTCTCACAATTTAAACTGTAGCTGTGTTCCGCTGTAAATTGCTCAACCGCATTTTTTCTTAGTCTAGCATTTATGGAAACTCACCCATTCAGTTTCATCAGTAACATGTTTGCCTTCTTGTCCTTCCCTTTCTCCTACTTTCATTTTATTGCCTGATTGTAAGAGGTGAGTGCTCCTGTATGAGAACATTAGTGCATCTTAAACAGTTTCATCTCTACCTCTTTTTAAAAACCTCCAGTGACTTTTTAAAAACCTCCAGTGTTGGAGCATCGACAACTTCTGGTGGCAAGCAGTTCCACTGGTTGATTGTCCTCGCTGTTGAGAAGTTTCTCCTTAATTCCAGCTTGCTTCTCTCCTTGATTAGTTTCCTTCCATTGCTTCTTGTCCTGCCTTCAGGTGCTTTGGAAAACAAGTGGACCCCTTCCTCTTTGGGGCAGCCCCTCAAATACTGGAATGCTGTTATCATGTCCCCCCTAGTCCTTCTTTTCTCTAGACTGGCCATACCCAAATCCTCAAAAAAATGAACAGCTTGCCCTCGGAAGTTGTGGGAGCGCCATCACTTGAGACTTTCAAGAAGAGATTGGACTGCCATTTGTCAGAAATGGTGTAGGGTCTCCCGCTTGGGGGGGGCGGGTTGGACTAGATGACCTCCAAGGTCCCTTGCAACTCTGATTATCTGTTATCTCTCTTAAAAAGGACTCAGTATTGGTGGATTTTCTGCCACAGAGGAGCATTCTGTGTCTGACCTTTTCTGGGTTTTGAAGTTAAGCTAGTTCAAGCTTTAACTTGTAAGGAACAGGTCAAAACAGTAGACATGACAGCCTAAATTATATGGTTATGGTTGCTGTCTTTATTTTAGGTTGTTTTTTTTTACAAATTCCTTTCATATTGTAACCCAGGATTCAAACTCAGTGTGAAGGAGATTTTACCTTTATCTTGTTTCAAGGATGATCAAGGCTTTCCTAATAATTTTAGACTGAAATGCTGTGATCTTGCACAACAGGTGGCTACGTGTGTCTGACCACACGAAACAACTCAAGCAACTTACGATACAAGATTGAATTGCAGCAGTTGCTGAATGACCTGGAGCAGCAAGGATTGTGGGAAAAGGTTGGGATGCAGGAAGTTGAAAAATGGGAGAGAGCAACATCACATCAGGAATCCGATCAGGACTCAGACTATATCTCTGGCGTGGTCTACATATACCAAAAAAAATAAAAGTCTGGTTTAAACATCCTTCATGTTGGAAGACCTTCTAAGTAGACCCGGGAGCCTCTCCTGAGAGGCTTAGCTTCAAAATCTGTAGTGTGTGTGTGTGTTTAATGTGAAGCAGTGATAAAGCAGGCTGGACCATGGTTTGTTTGCAGAGTATTTTCTCTTTACCACTTAAGAAGCTGCCATAAATTCAATGTGTTCCAGACCAATTTAAGGTTCTGCACTTCCAAAATTTCATGTTTTTGCATTAAAATGTTCCCAGCTTCCCCTTCTCCAACAGTCTTCATTTGTGAAGTCTTCATGGAGTTTTCACTACTGAATGTAGTATTTCCTTCATTTTAGCAGTCAACACTGCTGAATATTTGCAGTACAGTGCATATTCTAAGAGAGTGTATTTGTTGCTTTGTGGCTATCTCCCTCCACCAATCACTCTCCTGATTCAAGGGACTAACCCTCTTGTAAATCCCAGCCAGTACATCTATTTGTTCTACTAGCTGGGAATTATGGTGCTTATAACTCATCATTTCTCAAAGGCCCGCACAGGAAATGTGGCTGCTTGTGGGTTGAACTCTTTGCAGATACCTGAAAGTTCACGAAAATTCCTGAGAGGGTGAAGAGAACTTCAAGGAAGAAAGCAGAATCTCCAAATGTCCTTTTTTCAAACCTTCGAAGTCAACATCTCTTCAGAGATGGGACTGTATATGGTGGGTAAAAGCAACGAGAACTGGAGAGTACCAAGGTTCTAGGTAAAATGTTTGTCTATGGCAGAAGATAAGGCAGGGAGAACAGGGAAGAGACATATAAAATAATGCACAAAAAGCAGAAATGAGAATTGTAATTCTGAACACAGGTCTTCAATTTGTTCATGGGACTCAATCAGCACTGTGTGTGCAGGACAGACAGCGCTAGAGGCAATCAGGTTCCAAAAACAATTTATATTTCTTTGGGGCCAAAAATACTAGCAGCAGTATTGTTAGGGTGGCTTTAAAGAGGATTTGGGCGAAGAGGAAATGCATGCGACGAGTAACGCCTAGCAATTAAAACAACATGGAATCTCCCTGTTGAGAAACAGTTTGCTTTTTAATGTCATTTGCTGGAGTTCTGAGGAAAGAAGACGGCCATCCTTGGAGTCACGGCCGGAAGCAGGATGCTGGCCTGGACCTTTTCAGTCTGCTGGGTACTTATATTTATACCTCAACTGGAATGAGTGGTTTGGAGACATTCCTTTGAGAGGCGTTCCAGGGGCCATATTCATAGAAGTGGGCGAGGCCAGGGCAAAGAAGCACAGAAGGACCGAACAATTTAAATTTAAATGATGTTAAATCAATTAAATGCTGTTATGATGAATACTCCCCACATAGTTAATAATTTCCATCTTCTGTCTCGCTAAAAATTACAGTTGCACTGTGTCTCTGGGAGGAAGTCTGGAATCTTTAGGGCTTAGGCTGTTTACCTGAAGACTACGCCTTGCCGGCTGACTTGAATGTCATTATTCCCACCTTTGAAAAAGATCCAGGGCTCTGAATGGTTTAACACAGGGCTGTCCAAACTTGGCAACTTTAAGACTTGAGGACTTCAACTCCTAGAATTCTCCAGCCAGCATAGCTGGGATTTGAAGTCCACAAGTCTTAAAGTCGCCAAGTTTGTGGATCCCTGGTTTAACATCTCTACTCCTGCCACAGAAGCTATGTGGACGGGGATGTGTGGACATGAAAACAAAATTTCAGGGGATGAGTGGACATGAGGGGGAAAAAAACAGATTTAAACACTTACAGCTGGCCCCAATTTGGCAGCATCATTTGAAGAGCGGCTCTCATTCCTCAAGAGTAGTTGTATTGTAGGGGTCTCCAGCTCCCAGGCCCCAGCCAGGCTGCAGAAGTGATGGGTGAGCATGCATATGTGCACACATGCACAGCTGCATTTGTGAAAGCAGTGTGCACACATGCAAAACCGTCCCCTCTCCCCCCACCGCCATCGCCACGGCCTCTGCCAGTCCACCAAGCCAGAAAGGCTGGAGACCTGTGTTGTATAGTACTGTAGTAAGAGTAGTATAGGTAGTCCTTGACTTACAACCATTAACGACCGTTCAAAGTGACAATGGTACTGAAAAAAAGTGATCTATGACCAGTTTTCATACTTAACACCGTTGTAACAACCCCGTGGCCAAGTCATCAAAATTCGGGCATTTGACAACTGACCAGTAGTAGGATTCAAAAAAATTTACTACAGGTTCTGTGGGCGTGGCTTGATGGACTTGGTGTGGCTTAGTGAGTGGGGCAGGGGAAGGATACTGCAAAATCCCCATTCCCTCCCCACTCCACTAACCTGCTTTCCAGCTCCGTTCTCCTGTGCAGGGCAACAAAAGGAGACCCAGCCGATCAGCTGGGACTCGGGAGGCAGAGAATAGATGGGGACGGGGCCAGTCAGAGGTGGTATTTTCCAGTTCTCAAAACTACTCAAAATTTCCGCTACCAGTTCTCCAGAACTGGTCAGAACCTGCTGAATACTACCTCTGCAACTGACATGTATTTATGACAGTGGAATTGTCCTGGGTTCCCGTGGTCACCATTTGTGACCTTCCCAGCCGGCTTTTGACAGACAAAGTGAATGTAGGGGGAGCCAGATTTGCTTAATGACTGTACAATTCACTTAATGCAGTGATTCGCTTAACAACTGTGCAAAACAGCTGTAAAATGGAGCACAATTCACTTAATAATTGTCTTGCTTAGCAACAGGAATTTTGGGATCCATTGCAGTCATTGAGGTAGTTGAGGACTACCTGTATAATTTTTGCAACGGAGATCATCATCCCGGAATGGAAAAGCATTGAATCCAAAAGTAAAAGTGATTAAGGCAGAAGATTTGGAGTGTCCCCTCCCCCTCAAACAAGTTGAAACAAGGTCCATGAAAATGGAGAGTGCTTATCAAAAATGGCTTTGCTGTCTTTGAAACCTGGAGTTGCCAGGCTTGTTTCTCCCTCCAGGAGGCCAAAGAAAGAATTTATGGAGAGGCAGATGATAGGAGAGGAAGGAAAAGATGGCTTGAGTGTTGAGCTGCCTTCAATAAAAAGTTTGGGCTTGTGGACAATGGACCATCAAACTAATCACGGGGTTTTAGACTGATATACCTACAGGCTTAGTCATGCAGGTGCAACCCAGTTAATGCCAGCTGCATTCAGGCAATCACACACTTGGGCAAATTTGGCTCAAATTAAGCTTAGATTTGGGGGTCTTTTAGAGCAGTGGTCCCCAACCTTTCTGGCTTGGTGGCCCAGCAGGAGGGGGGAGGGAATGGTTCTGTGTTAATGGGAGGCGCGCATGAGAGCACATGCAGCTCCATTTGTACAAGCAGCAGGTGTGCATGCCCGCCGCTTGCGGAAATGGAGCTTGCGTGAGCCCCCATCACTCACACACATGGTTCCAAATGGGCTGCACCCTGAGGATGACCCCTGTTTTAGAAGGGTTAGCATTTTGTGTGAATCTTTCTACCCATCTGGTTGTTGGAAGAAATATCCTCCTAGGTTCAGTTCCAAGTGGGGGAAAAGACACTGGAAACATGGAGGCTGTTTGGAAGGTTTAATGGTGGACAGGAGGACCACGTGGCCTGGAGCCCCAGAATGAAAAAGGAAGGAGGGTCACATGCTTCAAGGTGAAGGAGGAGATCAAAAAGGGGCTGAGGTGCTGAGAGTGGCTGGGTTTTATAACCTTTGTTGGGATTTGAATTGGAGCTTGTATTCTGATTGGTTGTCAGACTTCCATGGGGCCATGCAGGGGCAACTCTGTAGGCTGTCCTGAGTTCCAGGTTTGGTTGAGCCTTGCTGGATGATGATGCACTGAAAAGGGCTTTTGGCAATTGCTATAGCTTTACCTGGAGACCTTTGTTATGTAAAGTATTCTGGCCCAGGCCTTAATGGCCCACCCATTAACAACGGTGGGGGTGAGTTTCTGCTTCTGAGGTGAGTTTCTGCTCTTGAGTTTCTTCTCTTTTTAGGGGAAATAATCCACCTTTTTAATATTTCCTAGGATATTTCAATTTTCTAGGAGAGGGGTGGCATGGTAATTTGTGATACATCATATAATAGCATCAGACATGCTGTGACCCATTGGGTCATCCTTTCAAAGAAATTTCCTTATCTGATTCCTCAATGCCTTCAATAATGGCAGAGTTTCTAGTGCAGGGGAAAAGTTTTTCGTTTTTTTTTTAAATCAGAGTAAAGATGCAGTCTCAACTTAAGACAACAATTGAGCCCCATATCTGTTGCTAAGGAAGACAATTGTTAAGTGAATTTTGCCCCATTTTATGACATTTCTTCCCACATTTGTTAAGTGAATCTCTGCAGTTGTTGAGTTAGTAACGAAGTTATTAAGTGAATCTGGCTTCCCCATTGAGTTTGCTTGTCGGAAGGTCTCAAAAGGGGATCACATGACTTGCAATGATACTGCAATGGTCATAAATATGAGTCAGTTGCCAAGCGTCTGAATTTTATTCACGTGACCATGGGGATGCTGCAACGGTCATAAGACAAAAACAGCATTAAGTCACTTTTTCAGTGCCTGTAACTTCGAACAGTCATTAAAAGAACTGTTGTAAGTTGAGCTGTACTCACCTTGAAAGGATTCCATCTTGATTCTGCTATAGTCAAGCATCAAAAGTGGACCACAGAAGGTTTTTATGACATTTTGTATTGTGTGCTAAAAGGCTTTATGGTGTTTTTATGTCATAAAATGTTCTATAAAACTTGCCAAGTTTTAATACCATGCAAGTCATGGATCCCAGATTTTTGGTGCATCCTGTAAGTTACTCCATTTGAGGTACTTGTGGTTCAAAAGATTTTGCCCTGTGATGCATCATTTTCACCCAGTTAAAGTTTTGAGAGTTTTCGTAGTGTACAGATTTCAGAAAATGAGTTAATTCAGTAATCAAGATAAAAATGTATGGTAAACAGAGCCTCGTATGCAAATATAAGGCAGTGCAAACCTTAAGTTATTGCTGGGAATGATGGCAATAGAGAGAGTATTTACTACCAGGAAAGTACAATTTCGTTAATTGACATTCAAACTAATATTATTTTTTGTCCTGGCCTTCCCCACGTTTCGTCCGTTCCTTCCCTTCCTGCACATTCTGCTTACAGACCAAGGGTTAGGGTTTCAGTCTCATAAAGGCACACACACCCCTTGTGTACAGTACGATGTCCTGTTTTCTGCCAATAGAACAATGGATGGAGCCTTTTGCTAAATGTTGCCTTTCTCTCTAATTCAAACAATTAGAATTGCTTATGCAACTGGATGAAAATTCCTGTCAGGAAGTTCTTAGCCAGCTGAACTCCTGGTCTAAAAACCACTTCCTCCTCTTGAGACAATATTACTTCAGTGCAGTTTCATTTAAAAAGTAACCGTCGTTCTCCCTTCAGTTTGTGCCTAGTTTATGAGGCTTTTAAATTTCTGCTTGTTCTTTTCCGTTTGAAACTGTTTGTTTTAAAGTATCAAAGTGCGCAAGGTGGATCACATGTCTCTTTGTGAACCTAATTGAGAAGAAGCAAAGAAACGGATTTTATGCAAATCTTGTTGGACTTTGACAGTTAAGGGGACACCGGCACAACACCAACGCCTGATCAGAAGAATGTTTTGGAGCAAAATACACAAGAGAGGAACAGAAGGATTTGAATTTTGGGCATGGCCCAAAAATAACAAAGGCACAAAAGTAGATAAATTCCTTTTAATGCCTCCAACTTGGCCCCCAACGTCCAGTTATCTTCGACTGGAGATCAAACTCTTCCAAAAACAGTCTCCAAAGGGAAGAAATGCAATCCAAACCCAAAGTACAGATAAATTAGAAATAAAAAAACCAACACAAACCACACCGAAGTAATTAACACGACATGCCAGGATAATAAATTGCAGACTTCCAAAAAATAATGAAGCATACACAGTTGGGAGGATGCCAAAACCCAGATAAGCCTTGACAACGATAATGCATGCTTTGCTTCCAGCAAGGTGCTTTGTGCAAACACCCTTCTTATATCCTCTTCTCCCAGCTGCAACTAATGAAAGGGATCAGGGCCTTTTTCTCTCCCATAAGCCATGTTGCTCCCTTCTTCGTTCCTCCCTGCGTGCCCTAGGATGAAGAGGGGGTGGCCCTGGGTCTTCCTCTGAATGCCCAGCCGGACTGTTCCCTTTCCCCGTTTCTTCCACAGCCACTGGAGCCAGCCACACTCCCACTCCCTGTTAGCTGCTCAATCTCCCCCTCAGAATCAGACTCCAACAAGGGCATGACAGGATTACTAGGATAGGAGATTCTGAAATGGATGGACAACAAATTATTTGATAAATCAAAAGGAAAACAGATGCTATCCTAGTTAAATAGACCTTAGGTCTGATCCAGAGGTGGTATTCAGCAGGTTCTGACCAGTTCTGGAGAACCAGTAGTGGAAATTTTGAGTAGTTCAGAGAACCGGCAAATACCACCTCTGACTGGAGATTTTACAGTATCCTTCCCCTGCCACACCCACCAAACCATGCCCACAGAACCGGTAGTAAAAAAAATTGAATCCCACCACTGGGTCTGATCCAATAACATTTTTCAATATCATACTTTCGCCACTAGATTTTTTTTTTTTTTACACTTGAACAGCTTTTTCCATAGTGAGATCATTTTCTACTTGCATCTAACCCATGAGGCAAATATATCCCAACAACCCCCTTTTCTGCCATAACTCACGATGTTGCCTTCATCTTATCCCCAAACCATACCCGAGGCAGCTTTAAATTCGCTTTTAGCTGTCCCTATGTTTAAGTGGTGCTTTTCCTCTTATTCAGGCAACAACCTATGGCTGTTTTGATACAGGTAATCCTCAACTTATGATCCCAACTGGAGCCAGAACTTCCACTGCTGAGTGAGGCAGTTGTAAAATTAGTCACACCCAATTTCATGATTTTATGGGCTGCAGTCTTTGAGTGAATCTGCCTTCCCTGTTGACTTTGCCTTGCCAGAAACTCCCTGGCAAAAGGTTGCAAAAGCAGATCACATGACTCTAGGATGCTGCAATCGCCTAAATACAAGTGCCTGGATTTTGATCACGTGATTGCAGGGATGCTGCAACAATCACAATTGGGAGAACTGGTTGCACATCTCTTCTTTTTAGCACAGTTGCTAAACCAATGGTTGTCTGCTTTGCTTCAGTAACCATTTTGTTATTTGCATAATCAGATGACCCCTAAGGGGTGAGATCAGCCACTTTAGAGTGCTGCGGGCATGCCCTTTCTCTTCACATCTTTTGTGCTTTTCCCCTCCAGCTTGGGCAATGAGTAATCCCAGTTATTTCAAATGAGGTTCTCACTTTTGCACACTTCGGAGGGCTGATTTTGAACATGGGATCTTATATCAGCTATTGGGTGATGGTTGGAAGTTCTAAAAATTGGCTAGCTCTATTTCCATTGCCTCTCCGACATCTGTTAGAGGGGGTGAGGAGCTGGCTGGCTGCTTCTTCAAAGAAAGCCCAACTAACAACTGAGCAAAGAGGTCAGGGGGCCTCAAGCAGAATAGCTGTCTGCCTGTCCCTTCCAAATGCACACATCCCCCTTTCAGCTATTAGGTTTATTTTGACCTCACTTGTGCAAAACATTTGTGCAATACTAGGAACTGATAGCAAAATTCCTCCATTTTGACATTCATCAAAACTCCCTCCCTCCTCAAGTCTCTTACCCATCTCACATTAAGGAGAATGGCCGGTGGACGTTATTCTGTGGGCTGGAGATGTTTAGTGGGAGGGGAAGGGAGGAAAGTCAGAGGAAAGCACCACTCCCATTCCTTAACATTCTGTGCTCATGATCAATCAGGACCCTACTACAAGTAGTCCTCAACTTACAACAATTCATTTAGTGAGTGTTCAAAGTTACAACGGCACTGGAAAAAATGACTTGTGACTGTTTTTCACAATTACTCCCTTTCCAGCATCCCAATGATCATATGATCAAAATTCAGATGCTTGGCAACTGGTTCATATTTATGACCATTGTGTGTCCCAAGATCATGTGCTCACCTTTTGCAACCTTCTAGACAAGCAGAGGCAATGGGGAAGCCAGATTCACTTTAACACCTGGATTACTAATTTATCAATTGCAGTGATTCACTCAACAGCTGTGGCAAGAGATGTCATAAAATGGGGCAAAACTCACTTAACAAATGTCTCATTTAGCAACTGAAATGTTGGGCTCAATTGTGGTCGTAAGTCAAGGGCTACCTGTACATGGCACCAATTGACTTTTCAGGAGGTGTAACCCTAATTAAGCCAGCAAATGTTATGCTGGTGTAGGTTTCTGTTGACTCAAAGATTGGTAGCTTCAGGAGTGGGGAAAGGCCCTAATTTGTGTGTAGAGTAAAATACCTGAAGGGCTCAGGATAGCTCTTACTATCTAAAAGGCCAGACCGGAGGTAGGCAGCCTAATGCCAAGGAACTTCTTGGCATCAAGCAGAATCCTCATCCTACCCAATACAGCCTACACTGGAAGCTGCAAAATCAGGCACTAACTTCTGGCTCTTTCTCTCCCCTTCTCCAAAATTTATCTCTCAGTCTTAGGAAGATGCTAAGACAAAAATGCAAGAAGAAATGTTGAGGTGTTAAACAAAAGGCATTTGATGACTATTCACATCTACTGTGGCAGCCTTATCTATCTCTCATCTTTCATCTATCTATCTATATCTATCTAATTTGTATGCCACTCAGCTCCCAACAATTTCAGAGCTAGCCAAGCCTTACATCATGCTCTTAAATTTATGTCTACTGGACCAAAAAAAAACCCATTGCCAAAGCCTGAGCTAACTTATCTTTCTGATACAATTCTTGGCATATCATCAAACCACAGCACTCATTTGAGGAAACTGTCACGTACCATGAAATAATGCTGCTTTGTCGAATAAAAATGTTACAAACGGCTGGCGTGAACTTTCTCTTGGTGTCACATGTCATGTCAATGTGGGCTCCGTGTGGACAGGCCTGACAGGCGATTGGCATCTCAAGATTTATATTCTGTAACATCATTGCATCAGAGGAGTCCTTTCCACCAGCCAATCCTCCTTTCTCAAGGCTTGGAGTAAGGAGGAGAGGCGTAGCTTTTCCAAGAAGGATCATACATAGTCTTTGCGGGCATAGCTGCTCTCAGAAGGGTGTCTTCCTGTCCAGTATCTCACTGGATAGAATTTATTTCCCTCCTTTGGAGGAAAGAAGCAACAGAAGGTGCCTCCACCAAGGATCAGGAAAGCACTCGCTGCCCAACCTATGTAAAGTGAAATACCCAGCTCTCTCTTCAGGGCCTCAGGAACGAGTGGATTATAGAAGTTGCTGACAATGTTCCTTGCTGACCAGGAGACAGGAAAGAGGAGCGCCATTCCAGCTAGGATGAAGACCACACCAGCTATCATCAAAACTTTGGCCTTAGTACTTGGGTCTTCTACGAAGCGGGTGCACCTTGCTCCAGAGATGGCAATCAGGAGAGCCAGGAAAGACATGGCAATGGAGACCACCACCAAGGCCCGGGCAGTTTGTAGGTCTGCTGGTAGGTCAAGTAGGGAGTCATAGACCTTACATTGCATCTGTCCAGTACTTTCATAAACACAGTTCATCCACAGCCCCTCCCAGAAGACCTGTGCCACAATGATGTTGGATCCGATGAAAGCCGTCACTTTCCACATGGGCAAGGCACAGGCCAAAATAGAGCCCAGCCAGCCCAGGATAGACAGTGCCAGCCCAACCAGCTGCAGGGCCAGGGCTGTCATCATGCTCCCACCTGCTGGAAACAGAACCCTGATTGATTAGGATGAAAGCAGCACCAATTAACTAGGACATATGCAGGTAACCCACAAACAGGATCTTAGTGTCGTACAAAGACAGGGAGGGAAAGTTTGTTGCGGTTCCTCTCTTCAAAGAGCTAATATTTACAGACGGAAGAATCAAGGTACATTTTCAGAGAATTTCTTTTGTGCAGATTAAAACTATACAGTCAACAGTTTTGGAGTTTCTGAGAAAGTGAAATTGACCTGATCAAAGGATGAGAGCCTAAAACGTTTTTTGGGGGGAGTAGGCATGGGGGGGGGGCGGGGTAATTCATGTACTTATCAGTCTGGGCTTTTTTAAGAGTGTCCATATTGATTGATGCTAAGCCAGCTCTACAACATAATTATAGATGGATATAGGAACTTAGGATTGTTTTTTTCTATCTTTTGGAGCTGCTAGGCCATTATGAATGGGATTATAAAGTTTAGGACAAAATAGCTGCATCGTTTTGCAAAAAAACAAAAAACAAACTGGAAAAACAACATACAAAGATTATGATTATGATGCAGAGGGAAGCAAAGCCTCAAAGCAAACCTACGCCACCGGGGAACCAACCCCCACCCACCCCAGCACACAGGTTTTACTTGCTCATTCAGAAATCTCCCCAGGCTTTCTTCCTGCCTTATGTTCCCAGCGGGCAAGATTAACTCTCTCCAGTTACTCATTCCTCTCTTTCAAGAAAAACCAGAAAGGAAGGAAAGGAGGAAGGAAGGAAGGAAGGAAGGAAGGAAGGAAGGAAGGAAAGAAAGAAAGAAAGAAAGAAAGAAAGAAAGAAAGAAAGAAAGAA